TGAACTCGTACTTCTACATCTGACGCATACTTCTTAGTATGACGCGTACTTTTCAGTATGAATCTTCACTCTCCAATAAATATCCGCGACAAAGTTTTAAAATAAAAATATGTTTTTAAATAATATTGTCAAAAAATGCGTAGGAAACTTCGTGATCCTGATTGATCAAATAACAGGAAACAACATCAGAATGTTGTTCGAGAACAAGGAAGTTACTTCCGAATTGAGCTCATACAAACTCTTAATACAGAGTTAGTGCTTCCTCCTATCGAAACAACGTCTGGGAGCACGAAAAAATTGATTTATAGGGTTAGGTGTATTTCTTTACAAATAAAAAGATAAGTGACTGTACGGGCTAGTATTCGGATGTTGTTTCAGGAAGAGTAAGCTCTACTTCCTCAGCGCAAGGTGCTGTGTGACCCCGTCACATATTATGCCCAGTCGCGCCAATCAAAAACGCGTCAGGGGCCCTGAAGGCATGCCTTCAGAGCTCTTTCCACAATTTTCCTAAATGCAGCAGATCACGGTGAGCATGTTCATCATTTCTTACTCTCCACTGGCAAATATAATAGAACCTGAATTACGGAGGATAAAACAAACCTCCAGATTAATGGCCATGGAAACGCTCCATATCTTCCTAGTAGCATACGTTGATCAACAACGCATCAACTTGATGCCTTTTAAAAAAGTTTGAGCAAGAAGCGCGCCTCAGGAGCTTTCCCATAATCTGAACTCGCGTTCACGGAATAATACAAATTATGAATTTACCTCGTAAATAAAAGAAACGGAGAAGTAGATAATTATGACCGAGGTTAAGTTTCTCTAGCTGGCAAACACACTCAAACGCGCAGTAAACTCAGACACTCAGACACTCAGACACTCAGGTAGGTAGTCTGGAGAAGACTAATTGAGACACAGAGACTTAAGCATACCGGTAGTTACATAACGCTTCCCAAAGCGTGTCATCAATAGTACCTACCGCTTGACGACTCAGTGAGAGCGCTGGTATCATCATCGTAGATTTATTTGCCTGGGGTCACCTCCGGCGCGGAAGCTTCACGCCTGCATCAAGTAAAACGTAGCGGAGACCGATGTGGTGCACTGCAGTTGAAGTGTGCCGCCGTTCAGACGACGAGCCAAGTCTATGCATATAAAACCTGTCTAACAGCATGGTCGGATGATCTGAACTTCAGGCGCAAGAATCAGCGGGAGTGTCTCAGCTAGCATAACCTGTGCTACGTCATATCCGCTTACGGCAACAGCACTGCATCACCAGCTCATGTATATGGCCACATTTACACAGATCACAGACCTTTGCCCGTTTTGATGCTCACCCGCCGCTATACCTTCACCGGGACATGGAGGGCGACATGTGTGAGCCGACTGAAGCCATCTAAGTTGAGTTGTTGTCGTCAAGTGGCCACGGCCCAACGGCGGCCCAGAACAGCATCAGGTCGCAATGTGATAGGGGAAGGCTTCGAGAAGACAGGATGGGCGGTATACTGTCGTTAGTATTCATCTGACAGGTCATCCCTCCCACATGGCACAAAACGCGGGTCCCTCTAAACAGTGGCCGGAACGACAACTTTAGACCAACTTACTTGCTGTTTGTATGCATCTGTCTCTTTTCTGGGTATTGTTGGGTGGGTCTGTGCGTCTGCCGCTCACAAAGCGCCTCAAAAATCGATTCCTCCACGTCGACCACAGGTTCGCGCACGCAGCGGATTTAGGCAGCGGCAGCGTTTGGTTGTCGCCCTCTCCGTTCGGCCCCTTCATCGGCGTCCTCGCACTCGGTCTGCACCTTGCCCACAGCAGTTGAAAAATCCTAAAAAGGTGAGTGCGTCATCACCTCTCGTCGAAACATCGACATATGCGTTAGGGTTATCGGCTTCCTTGGCAAAGTTTTTTTTTCGCTTTTCACTATTTGCTGAGACGCCTTTTGCCATCGTTTGCCATCGTTTGCCATCGTCTTCCAGGGTGTTTTGTTTTTCGCTTGTGCGACGGAGCGCGCGAATTGGAGACAAGAAGCGTCGCAGTAACGGCAACAAGAGTGCGGGAATCCGCCGTTTGACCCGTTTTAGACACTCAAAGTGGCATAGGAACGTGGCAGTCCGCAACTTTCACGACCCAGACACGACACGATGGTTATGCGTCACGACAGCAGCAAGCAGCAGGCTCCAGCTCCCATAGCGACGCGCGCTTTCTCCTTCAAAGACGCCGTGGTGCGTTCCCCGCCCAAGTCGCTACCTCTGCCATCAAAAGACCAACCTGTACAGCCGTCGCCCAAGGCGAGAAACGACAAAAAGCCACAACAGGCGTCCGGATCCCGTCAAATCCGATCGCGAAGTATCACGAAAATCGTCGAGAGTTCGAGCTTTAAGAAACGCTGCGAGGCGCTCAAGTCGCATCCTGGACGTAAACATCACGACTCAAAGGGGGAAAGTGCCACTACACCGCTCAGTTCCCCCAGAGCGAAGCAAGAGACGAAGAAACTCACGCCATTGGAGGAATTATGTGAACGTGAAAAACTGCTCCACAACTCGAGTGACAGTTTTAAAGCACGCAAACGTATCAATCGATCGACGAGCTGCTCCTCTTCTTCTCCGTTGCGTAAAGCGACCTCGTCGTCGGACAAAGACGATGGGTCGAGCCAGGACCGAGTGCTGCTACGTCGAGCCTCGTTGCCATTAGGATCTCCGTCTGATTCTGATACACAGAGCTCCTCTTGTGACAGTAGCCCAGTTAAAGCCAAGAAAACGGACAAGAAAGAATCAATATCGGCTCCATTAAGCGGCCAAGACTCGGACGTAAGTGAGTTGTCGCACGAGCTGGCAGTTAACTGCTCTACAACGAGGAGAAACCACTCTCGGAAGGTGTTTGAGAGCGACGACGACTTCTTGGACTGCGACGACACTAACAGCGAGTCCACAGCCGAGTCTTCGTGTCCGAGTCCTCGTCACAGCCCACTGGCCCATCGGAGTGACGTGAACGAGATGGAAGTGTGCCAGAAACCGGATGAATTATCCAGTATTTTGCCAAACTGTGAAGAAGAGGACGAAGAAGAGGACGAAGAAGCCTACATGCTTCTGGACAGGATCAACAATTTATCAGCGGAGTTTGTGGCCAATCGCGAGTACGAAGAATCCAACGCCTTGTCGTGGTCGGTACAGCACGCAGCTCAGCAAGGCGTGATTTCCACGCAATTGCAGCAGAATTTATTCTCGAATATCTGCGAAGGGTATCTGGACGAAGCTCGGGATGTGTTGTACCATAAATGCCACTTGATTCCTGCAGTCGGGAGTGTTGTGGAGAGCCCGATGCAGCCGATTATGGACCCAGGAGCCTTGCAGTCTTTTGTGGACTATGTGGACTGCATCTCGCCAACTGACGCCGCGGAAGCGCGTATGCATAAGCTGCAAGTGTTGAAACAACTGTCGGATTTACTGACCAAGTGGGTAAAGATGGTGGGACGTGAGCGGGAGTTGAGTGAAGAGCATATCGCATTGACGAAGGGCTCTCTCTTCCTCGCTGGATCCTATCGGCTAGGGTTGGATGACCCCAACTCGGACATCGATGCTGTGTGTGTGGCGCCATGGCATGTGACTCACGACGATTTCTTCGGCTCGTTCTGTCGACTACTGGAGCAGACACCGGGAGTTTCTCAGCTTGCGCCTGTGCCCAGTGCCTACGTGCCGCTCATTTCGCTATCGTTCCTGGGAGTTCGCATGGATTTGCTCTTCGCGCGGTTGCCAGTGTCCAGTGTGGAGCCCAACCAGAACATTGACTCCGATCACATGCTGGTTGGGGTACATGAGACTTCGATGAAGGCTCTAAATGCTCCTCGGGTCAGCTCTATGCTGCTGTGCTTGGTACCGAGGCGTCGGGAGTATCGGATAGTGTTGCGAGCTGTACGTGCATGGGCGCGCCGTCGCGGTATTTACTCGGCCAAACTGGGTTATTTGGGTGGTATTAGCTGGGCGATCCTGGTGGCGTTTGTGTGCCAACTGTACCCGAACGCAGAGCCTGCGAAGATCTTTGTGCGGTTCTTCCAAGTGCTTTCCGAGTGGCAGTGGCCACAGCCTGTGATGCTCAACATGATCTACGACGCTGGACTAGGATTCGACATGTGGGATCCCCGTCAGAGCGTCTTCGATCGATCGCACATCATGCCGATCATCACCCCGGCATATCCGCACATGAACTCTTCAGTCCAAGTCTCCCAGCCAACGTTCTCTGTGATATACGAGGAATTATGGCGCGCACGATACTTGGCTGAGATCGCTGTGGGTATTTCCAAGCCTTTTCCTACGGCTGCTCCGTCACCAGAGAGCTCCGAGTCGGATCTAAAGGCTGCAGTGGTGTGTATGGCTACGTCAATGCCCTCGTTCGACCAGCCGTTGAACGCAGTTCAGTCGACAGCGGGCGAGACGGCGGTAGGTGAAGCAGGTGCTTGGGACAAGCTCTTCCAGCCGTCGAACTTCTTCATCCGATACAGTTCGTACATGGTGTTTAACTTCCAGGCTGACACGGAGAGCGCTATGCACAAGTGGGGCAAATTTGTGCAGTCACGATTACGGAAGTTGGTGGACAATTTGCATCACGTATCGCCTGTCTCAAGGGTTCATGCATTCCCCTGTTATTTCCCGCATACTAGTGACTCTGAGCGCGATGGACCGGGTTCATGTATGTTCATTGGAATTGAGTTCCACTGCCGTCGACATCAAACTATTCAGCCCAAGGATGACCCGGAGGTGAAAAAGACGTTGGAGCAGACCATTCGGTTTTTCTTAGCGACAGATTTGCAGCAGATGGAGGACAAACAGCCAGATATGACTGCTGACGCCAAGGTTTTGAGCTGGGAAGAGCTGCCCGACTTCGTTTTCCAGTCAGGACGTAGCAGTGCCGACCTGGAGCGTGCAAAGTACACGGACGATCTGGAAAAGATGGGCTTTTCACAAGGCAACACGCCGTCGTTCCGCCCACCTTACTATGTGAACAGTTACAACCGCAACGGCAAATGGCGCAGTGGTGGGCCGCGCAAGTACGCGGGAGGCCAAAGGAAGCGCCGTGATTTCCGGAATGCACCACGATCATATCCAGGCACTCAGGCTGGATGAATGAATATTATATGAGCTGGTTCTGCAGGATTGGAGAGCGAGCTTATTACGTCGAGATGAGTCGCCACCGACGTATGTATGCATCTTGCGAGTATGCAACGACAAGTGTTTAGTTGTTGGCTTGTAGCTCGGAAGATGGTGGCGAGTGTTGCGACGGCGAAGAAGTCTGAACGTGACGGCAAGGGACGCACAAGGGACAAGGCCACGTGAACTTGTACGGTGGTCGGCTTTTGCAGTGCTTTAGCACTGCAGCGAAGAGCATATTGCAGCACAGACCGTCATCATTGTAAATTATGACTAGATGTGGCGTCACCTAAGCGATGCACAGGAAAACGTGAGAAAATTTGACAGAAAAAACAAAAGATAATGCAAACATCAGAAAAATTATAAAAACTGCTCGAGTACCAGGGATTGAACGCCTCAAACATCATTGTAGTTGCCTCTGCCACTTGATTGGTAATCGTAACATCTGCTTACAGTTGCAGACAGATCATCGATTTAAGATCGAGTTGTGCTTGCAGCCTTCGAAACTCGAGCTGGATTGCACTGCAAAATATCCGTCACCCCGAGATTCTTCGTTGAGAGGCACGGTCTCTGGATACAGTTGCCATTGAACCTGCTGCTTTGCAAGCGAACAACACCATCAGTAAGGTTACTGGCAGCCTGCTGTCACAGCCGATAATTGCCCACCTGTTTGTTATCTAAGTACTCGATAGGGGGGGGGGCACTTCTTTTCAACGAATGCTTCTTGTTTTACTCACAAAACTTTACGAAATATATCCGTGGATAATAGAAGCTCGATACCTTATTAATCACTGCTGCTTGGTCTCCGTTGAAGTTTGGGCTGAGTGTACAAAAGACAGACAAGCTCAATCCCGAGATTTTAATCGATCGATTCATGTCGAAGCAAGTCGAACAGCGCACCCGAAATGTATCAAGTTCGTGGCGTCGCATGGCCAAATGCCCAGGTGTTTCTCCAGGGATGAACGATGATCACCTGCCTCCTATACTCAAACCAAGGCTCTTCATTGTGCGACTTGGGTTGCATCCTAGACAAACGCTGCCTCTGGCTCTTCCATCAGCGACCAGGAGTGCTTCTGCTCGACCTCTTCGTCATGGCAAGTTGTCATTTCTCAATTTCCGTCGCCACAGCAAGATCGACCAACTTTCGTGGGCTCTCAATCAAGAATGAAGGTGATCCCGAGCGTCCTGGCCTTCAGTGCATTTGTCACTGCCCTCGTCTTCATCCCACAGACTTCTCATGCTCAAGATGTCATTGAAGCTGAACCGGGTACCGCACTGTTCGAGCAGTTCCGTCCGGTTTACCACTTTGCTCCCCGTGAAAAGTGGATGAACGACCCGTGCGCACCGTACTACGACGAGGCCACAGGTTTGTATCACATGTTCTACCAGTCGAACCCAAATTCAACGATCTGGGGCAACATGACCTGGGGCCACGCCGTGTCAAAGGACCAGGTGACTTGGGAGGATTATCCAGATGCGCTCCACCCGTTCGAGGACAAGTGGGACAACCTCGGTGTGTTCTCGGGCTTTGCGATGAACAATGCCATCGACGGCAAGCAAACCGTGTTCTACACGGGTGTCACTGCTCTCCCCATTTCGTGGAAGAAGGAGTATCTCTTTGGTGAGCATGTCGTGTACGCTACCACGGACGATGGCGGAAAGACCTGGCAGAAGGGCAGCGAGCCTTTGATCGAGCTGCCGCCGCAGGGTCTTAACGTGACCGGCTGGCGTGACCCGATGCCGTTCCACTCGAAGTCGCTTGACGCTCACTTCGGCTACGACGCCTCAAACGGCAGCAACTACATTCTAGTCGCTGGTGGCATCCACGATGTCGGTCCGCGTATTTTCCTGTACCATGCTGAAGACTACGTCAACTGGGAGTACCAGGGCTACCTACTCGCCCAGGAAAAGAACACCACGTTCTCTCCCTACAGCGCGAACTGGGGCTACAACTTCGAGACTACTATCTACCGTGAGATGACAGATGAGGACGGTGAGCTCCACAACGTGATGCTGTTCGCCGCGGAGGGTGATCCGAACCGGTACCCGATGTGGGCCACAGGTTCATTTTCCGGTGGTGGCTGCGGCGTGGAGGTCGATCCTGAGGCGGGACTATTCACGCCTCTGATGGTGGGCGTGTCGGACCGTAGCGACTGGTACGCCAACAGCATCTACACCGACAAGGACGGGAAGGACGTCCTGATCGGCTGGATCACCGAGGACAACAACTTCACCACGGGACAGCCTCAGGGATGGGACGGTATCCTGTCGGTGCCCCGCGAGGTAGGTATCACCATTGTGCGTGATATCTATGACGTCGACGAGCACCTGGTCGGTAAGGGTGACTGGATCGTGTCCGACTCGAAGGACGTGTCGTGTGGTGACGGCACGACCAAGCAGAGCAAGACCATTAAGACGCTCGGCGTTAAGCCGCTGAGTGACCTGCAGCTGCTCCGTAACGAGAACGCGATCGAGCAGGTAGCGAGCGTGTCGGTGAACGGTTCGTCGCAGGTGCTGAACTCGACGGGTGCTTCGTTCGAGCTGATCGCTGAGGTGTCGGACTTCGAGCGCGGCAGCAAGGTGGGCTTCGAGGTTCGCCGCAGCTCGGCTGGCGATGAGGTGACGACCATCGTGTACGATGACGCGGAGAAGAAGGTGATCATTGACCGTTCGAAGAGCTCCAACACCGAGTGTACCGTGTTCAAGGACAACGGCGTCAAGCCGATTTCGGACTCTGTGTGGGGATATTTCTACCTGTATGACCTGTTCACGGGTGCTTCTCAGAACGACGTGTGCGAGGCCACCCGCGAGAAGCTGAGCTTCCACGTGTTTGTGGATGTGTCTAGTGTGGAAGTGTTTGTGAACGGCCGCTTCTCGCTGTCGGCCCGCGTGTACCCGTGCGCCACCCAGACGAAGTCGGACGGCATTGCTCTGACGGCTTCTGGTAACTCTACGTTCGAGAATGTGCAGGTGTGGACGGAACCTAAGCACGCTTGGGCCGAGACGCGCACGGTGACCGCCCTCTAAGCAGATTGAGATGAATAGGCATGTCTTAAAAATAAAGTAAAAAGAAGCATGACTACAGAATAATCCCCTCATGACTCATGTGACCCCTTGGAGGAATTTCCTTAATTCAGTACTAACGGATTCCTACGAATTGTGAATCACAATTTGTGATCGACAAAATAGTAGTATCACACTGCCAGATGCAGCCAGCACACGTGTTGGTTGCGGGCTACACAGATCGTGCGCATGCTGGCTGCTCTGGCATGCGATCTGCGGCAGACTCTGCCACACTCTGCACAGATAGTGGGACGTGGCTACGGACCATCCATTCCGCAGCCGCGTCCCCGAAATTTAGCCAATGAGCTGATGCCCCTGGTAGCGAGGAGCAGTCAGCTCATTCAGCAATTTCCATTCTAAGCGTCAAACGCCTGGGCGCGACGTGCCTCGGCCGTGATTCCCGGCACGGCGGCGCCCGTGCGCCATGGACACCGAGCAGCTCGACATGCAGACTACCACTACGTTCTACCTGGACATGCAGACTACCACTGCGTTTTACCTGGACATGCTGACTACTACTACGTACCTCGACAGGCAGTTCTTCATCGGGATTCACCGGCAGCGTGCTGAGCTTGTGTGGAGCAAGTTGAAGGGTTTCCGCCCTGTACTGCTGTTGCGGATGGCTTGGTGTGTTGCTGTGCGGTTCAACGGTTGAAGCTTACACGAACGGCAAGAGGTGCAACAGGAACAAGCGTTTTATTACTTATGAAGAAAATATATGCTTTCTTGAGCCTGTTTATACTTGTTTCTTCTTCTGTAGCTTCAGCTTCCACATAGGCGCGCCCCACTCGGTGCCGTTGGCGTCTTCTGTACATGCGTATTTCGTTTGAAGAAAACGCTCACTACCGGCTCCCAGGTTGGCTCCCAGGAGGTTAGGAATTGAACGCGCCCATTGATTCGACGATCCGCCAGGATGGTCCGCATTTGATGTCTCCGCAGGTCGGTACCAGTTGGTAGGACCCATTCCGCCTCACCAGCGTCGTCCCCCAAAGCAGCTGCCTCAATGAGGCGGGACTTAGTGATGCGAGATTTGGGCACAGCATCCAGCAGCCGCTTGATTGCCTCTGCGGTTGATGCATTACCTTGTTGAAGATGAACCCATGTTCTCAGGTAACGAGCCGCAGCTTCATCGAGGCGCCCCCAACCGCGGGCGCGAAGGTGTGCTTGGCACCACTTGAAGAAGGCTGGGAAGGCAGTAGGTAGGGCAGTGTCGGTGCTGAGGCGGCTTGCCATGGTGGAAGTGATAAGAAGAATGAAAAACACATTGAGCACATATATAATTGAAGTTGAACGTGAATCTATTATTAATCAGAAAAAAAAATAGACAGGAAGTTCGATTTTCTTTCTTTAGCAAGAAACGACTGTACATGTAGCTACCGGTTTTCATTCCATATTTAATGCATATCGGTTTGACAATGGGCGACCAGCAGGAACTCGGGCACTGGTAGTACTAGAGCGGCGACAGTTCCTGGATACAGATCGATTAACTAGAGTCCGTTTACCGTCCAAGCCTGTGTAGCTCTTAATCTGCAGAGCAAAAAGCACATGAATGCAGACAGGAAACTTGAAGTTGTACTTGCATCTACATGAATTCGTACTCAAATCCACGTTCCAGCCACCCTAACCACGTCTGGGTTGGGGGAAACAAGTAGAAACTCGATACTGGATCGGCTCGCAGTTATGTCCACAAGAAGATCGCGGCGGTGAAAATCCTTAACCCTTGTATTTAACTGTTGGGTGGCCTCAGGGGATTCCTTGAAGATTCTTGGAGTCACTGACTGATGTCCGCAACAATCCGCCAGCAACTGGATCAGCGTCCCGATCTTATGTTTGGCCCGCAGTGTGTAGTCACGCTTGATCAAATGGTTAAACTGTTCCACCGGATTGTTTGTGGTGGCGTATCCACTAGGTGTATAAAAGCATTGCCATCGCCAAAACGCGCTCGTCACCCACGTGCGTTCGAAATAGACTCGGAACCATACCATCTGCTCTTCGTCTGACCAACTCGTTAGAATCGTTTTCACTTGTTCGTCATAGACATCTTGGCTAGCCGCAAAATGCAGGTCGTAAACGTCCGCCATCACCTGGTCACGTAATCGATCAGGTACACTCACCAGTTTTTCGTGAACTTTGGCCATCACGTGATAAAAGAAATTAAGTACACGAATTCTCAATCCGCACCGAAGACGCGTACCTCTGCGTTCTGTTGAGCAGCTTCAGCATCGACCATGACGAACTTGACCACCAGTTGACGCCCACCCGACACTGAAGCAAAAATCCTGCGCAGTTCAGTCAGCACCGTCACGTAAATGTCCTCCAAGCGTTGCGACGTAATGAAAAGTGCTATGAGGTGAAATGAGCGACACTTGTCAGAGATCCCACACACGATGACAGGATACCCGACTTGGTTCAACTTGAAGGTGGCATCCACGTGGAAAACGAACGACTCCGGGTCGCGAGCCGCATTCAGTAAAAGACGTTTAGTTGTCAGCCCAACTAAATATGGTTTTTCGTCATAGCCGTTCCCCCCATCTGGTTTGCCGCGGCCATCACGTTTCCAACCAAACGAAAATGGGTTCGTGTCCGAGACGGTCGAACCATACGCCAGCTGATGGATTTGGCTCAGGATTTCGCCATAGTCGTCATTGCGGTGGAGATTCTTCTTCGAATAGCTGCTGACGAACCATTGCACCTGACGCAGCGTCGGCAACCCCGACTCAGTAAATCCAAATCGTCGAGCCATTCCATTGCGAATTCGAGAGGGCTTGAGGCCTTGCGTCACCATTTCACGACCGTAATCCTTCAGACGTGGAGTCAACTTGACCTTTTGGGGCTCCTTCACCAGCGTCTCATGAGCACCAGTCTCCATGATCGTCACGCGGTTAAGTCCTTGATACGTGATAGCCTTCCCCTACCATGGGCACGCGTCATACGGTGCTGCTGCCTTGCATGTTTCATAGGAACATCTTAACAGTTGGTACCGCATCTTGTGTGGCTTGGTCAGCGCACACACGACGCATGGAACCAACTGACTCTTGACGATGATGAACACCCTCATGTCTTCCATGAGCAGTTGGGAGTCCTCTCGAGCCAT